TTTGGAAACATGGGAAAACGGGGTCACCTTGGCTTAGTCTCATTAGACAATATCTGCCAAAAATTCTTTATTTTATTTTTTTTTAAATAATGCACTTTTGTGTGTAATGGGAAGAGTAAAAAGACTTGATGTCAGTAAATGAGTAACGGTAGCTTAAGCTATGTATGGTAAGAGAATGAGTGTGAATTCTCATCCTTTGAGTGGGATTGTGAAATACTGTTAGCTAGGATGAATGAGAATTTCTTTTTCTCTTTTTTCCTTTTTCTTTTTTTCTCCAGATCCATGCTTGGTATTTGACTTCTCAGTTCTGAGTGTCCTCAGTCAAAGACAAGGAAGTACAGGGTTTTCAAAAGCAGTACGAAAACCACCTGTTAGGACAGATTTTCTGGTTTATATTCTGGAATAAGTACTGTAATGTAGAAAAAAAATCTGTTGCATCCAACGCTGTGCTTCCACAAAACTGCTTAAATCACTGTTTTGTTTATTTGTGAGTTTCACCTCTGTCTTGGAAGCTATATCCATATAGTGGCAAAAGTCACTACTTTTTAATCCTTATTTCTGTTTCATAATCATTAAAAGATTTCCCTGAAGCCGCCAGTAAGGTGAAAAAACTGGAACATGTCTAGGCTTTTGTTTCTGCTAGAGTAGACATGCACAGTGACTTCTTCGTTGTTTTTGAGTACTTTGATTTGTTAATTTATATTTTATTTAAAACTGTTAATTTTACTTGAAAATAATTTGTCCATGATTAAAAGTGGGATTTATATGAACTTTTGATGGATGAATATTTTGTTGTGCAATATAAATCATTTCTACTTTCACTGCTTGTATCCAACTGGCAAAATTTTCTTCTCTTCTAGTAGGTGTGGATATGTTGGAAAACTGGATGCTGTTTTCAGTATTGGAGCACTGAAATGTTGATACCACTTTTGTCATACTTAAGGTGCAGTTTATTCATCTAAACGTCTAGATGCTTTGAATTATTCTTTCATCTCTTTCCGATATGCTGGCTCTTGCCATTGACTGTCGAGGGAATTTAGGTTTGATCTGCTGAACTGTGGCTAAATTTAGGTGCTAAACTTTCTGTTCCTTCTTCCAGTATCTGGCAGATGGTTGCGTTGTTTCATAAGAATTAACCAGATACTTGCTGGAATGACCACGATTTTAAAATGGCAACGGATCTTTAACTGAACATTGGAAATAACAAATAGTGTCTCCGTTTTACAAAGTATTTTTGTACCTGGTAAATCTGAGCAGCAGACCTGAGAGTCTGTGTTTTGCATTCTGCTATTTTTTTTGAGAGCACCACCTAAGTGAATACATAAAGATAATACTCCTCTCACTTCTGATGTCTGGAACTGTGGTGCAAACTTGTTGCACTCGTAGGCTGATAAGATTTATCAGAAAACTGACACTGATGATTGTTACAAGCCTGTAGTTCCTGTTTCTGAGGTGCCCAGAACTGAGTACAGAGCTTCTAATTGAATGCCTAGATAAAGCATTCCCCTTTGGACAAGTGTTGAGGTTAGTGGTAAAGTGGAAAGGAAGTTTCAGTGTGCAACGGTGGCAAAATCCAGGCAGGATGGACTCTGCCAAGCATCTCTTAGTAGAAGAGATGGAGTGTCTCAAGTGCAGCATGCAAACAAAACACTTGTGAAAATCCTAAAAACAAGAAACAGTCGAAGAAAGTAAGTTTCAGACCCCAAATAGATGGTCCTTTCATATTCTGAAGGATTTTTTTTTTTGAGATATTCTTTAAGATACTTTTATTTCCTTTTGGTCTTATCTTTTAATGTATCACTTTAAAATTGATTCTCTAGTAGAGCTGGATGCTCATTTGATGGACAGTCATTATGAAAAGACTATTCTGTCCTAAATTAAGGTAGTGTAAACTTTTTTAAAAGGGAAAATAATTGTCCAAATCATGTAGTGTTTCATTGGTGGAACCAAGTGCAGGATTTGGACATTGCTTTCTTATCTTGTAGGAGGGACAATCTGTGGCTGTACACAGTGAAGTATATGTTTTGTGGCCCCCAGAGCTTAAGACGACTTTGGTAGGTGTCTCAAGGGCTGTGGCAGGCCCTCACCTGTGCTATAGTGCATAAGAAAGGTATTGCCTATTATATGTGTTTTGTAGCTCACCTGGAAAAACAGTTGGTGCTGCTACTACTTCTACGTCAATACTTGTACCATAAGAGTGCACAAAAGTCCTAATTTAGTTCAATGACAAGTTCTATGTTCATATATACTCCTGGAACACAATGGTCTTTGCTTGGACGAGCTGCAGCTATGAACCTTGATGAATAAAGTAGTGGCTGGAATGGGAATGGCACAACGGAGCCAGACTGGGCTGTGTGCTTACCTAAAGCAGCATGTGCCAGCTTTAGTGTTTCACACCTATTTTTGAAAACTCCAGTGAGGAATGAAGATATGAAGCTGGAGTTGTCTGGAATGCAAAGAAAAATAAGGTGGTGAATGGGTGGTGAGAAAGCAATCAGAAGAATGGAGGTGGGGGGAGAGGTTGGCAGTGACTGTTATACAGTGTACAGTTGGTGAATCTGTCTCTTTTATTGAATTTTTTTTTCTCTAGGATCCTAGCAGCAATGCCCTGCTAGAAGGCTATAGGCTGTAGCTTTTTTTGGTGATTTGGGTCAGGAAGGGCAAAATAAAGATCATGCAATACATGATTTCCTCACCTAACTAACTGTGAAAAGACAATGGCAGCAGCAATTGGTTTCAAGAGCAGCTACTGTTCCTTAAGAACCTAAACAGTATATGATAAAAGTTCAAACAAGCCTAAGGCCTAGAACCTTAAAAAAGCTTTCTTTGTTCATGTAAATTGTGCACAGAAACCCACTGCACATCTGTATCTTCCCCCTCATTCAGCTGTCAGGTGATAAATCAGGTGCTTGATAAGGTGAACAAGTGTCAAGGTGCTTCAGAGAGCAGGGAAGATGGGGGGGGGTGGTCAGCATCTTCAAAACTGAAAACAGCTGTGTTTTATCTGTTTCTGGATTTGCTTTCCTAAATCCTCAGGTCTTTAAGAAATCTCATTAGGTGCTCAGCTGCCCCTTCCTATGCATAAGAAGGGTCAATTTGTCATGAAAATGCCACTCATGGTGCAGAGGGATGAAGCTGTGAGAGTTTGATCGGAGATCAATAAACTGTAGTGTTTCCCCCAATTGCTCTTGGATTTGTGTTTCTTTATGCAGGTTTTCTGCTAGTTTATAGCAACTGAAAGATTTGAGGGGAATGGGCAGTTTATTTTTTAGCCCTGACTCTAAGCTGTACATCCACGTCTACAGAGTTTTGCACACTGGTAGAAGTACAGTGACCTTCAGAGATGAGTACATTGTGTGAAAGCAGCTCAGGGCCTTATCTACTACCAGCAAGCTGGGAGTTAACCCCCTTGCTCTCAGGCAGGTACGGGGGCACAGCGAGAAGCAGCTGAGTTAATTAAGTTTCCAAAAGGTGCCCAGGAGAAAGCCATTTCGGTCATTAGGAGGAAGAGCAGCTAAGGGCTGGGAGTGCGAGGCAGGTGCTAAGGAAGAAGAGACAGTGTGGTACTTACTCTTGCCTGGGGCTCTGCAGTAGTGCTATTCCTTGTCAAAGGTATTTTAAGTTCAAAATGAAGCTTTTTGCCCCTGTTGGAGAGGGGCTGGGTTCGGTTGGGTTTTCATTGCTGTGGAGCTATGGGAAATGCACTGCAGAAGTGTGGTGGGATGCCCTGGAAGGGAGCAAAGCGTGCTGTGGCTCGTAGTGAGGAGTTGCAGTGTAAAACCAAGCCCAAGCTGCCTGGTGGCTTGGGTTTGATTCAGTAGTGGTGTCTCATGATAGACTGCTGTTGCTTAGAGAAGGGTGAGCCAATTGAAAGGGATTTTGGCATATTCCTCGGCTTGTGAATCTAAATGCATTAATTGTCCTCAGCCTGTGCATTTGGAAAGAGTAGCACATCAATGATTTAGGGCCTCTGGCTTTTGCTCCTTTTGGGAGGCTGTTTTAATGCTGAAACTGGGCTGTGCTTGGTTTTTGGGTATTGAAGTGAGTAGGGTTCATCCTGGGAATGTGTACATTAGAAGAAAGAGCGTTTGGAAAAATCAGCTTTAATTACCAGTCTAACCTTCAGGATAAGCGTAGGGCAACAAAACGATGCTGAGCATGCTGGAAAGATTGTATGTGCGGAGGTTTCCTGGGTGCTTAGAGCGCACGTCTGTGTGAAGATGTGACTGGAGCGCTTAAAATGGAGCAGCTCCCTGCCGATCACCCTGTTCCCACGGTCTTGCTGCTGGTGCGTCAATGAGGCCGATGGGAGAGGTTGTGGGGTAGGATCATGGCTGGGGAGCAGTATCTGCTCCTCATAGGCACCTCCTCTGGGCTGCTCAGGGAGCAAGTGCTGCTGATTAACAAACAGGTAACGAAGCTGTGGGGTGTGGACAGGCAGGCTGACCTTTCAGCCGCTGTAGCTCTCTGCTGTGTTCATGCTCAAGTCATGCACCATCCCTTCCATGTAACGTAGTGCTAGGTCTCAGCGCAAGGACTGCGCGAGGCCCTTCCTGCGGGGTCTTTGCACGAGTTTGTTACACGTTGGTGTTTGTTGGCAGGGGAAGGGGGCACAGACTTTCAAAAGTAATCGGCTAAGTTTCAAGGCTGAATGCCTGGATTTACAAGAATGCTGTGCTCTGTGGTGCTTGAACAAGCCGCAGACAAGTGTTTGCAAATCCAGTTCTTAGTTTCTGTGAAAATCTGGGCATAGGATCCCAATAACTGGAATTAGAGCATTTCTTTTTTTTTCCCCCACTTCATTTGCAGGGATTTGCAGGATGGGGCAGGAACCTGGGAAGAGGTGAAGGAAGTTTATTGTGCTGTTTGTAACATCTGAAGGAGACTAAAACCAGCTTACTCTTGTAGATCTTTTTGTAGCTCAAGAGGAAGAAAGGAAGCCTTTCCATCGCACCCCTGGACAAGCCTGGACTACGCTAAGTAACAACACCATGGGAAACATGATCCCTCTAAGAGACTTAGTGATGCCAGTTTTCACTCAGTGTCTCAGCTTGGATTCCCAAGTCACAATGGTAATGTTTATCTGTTTGTGTGTGTTTCTGCATTAACAAGCTTTATTTTCTTTCTCCTGCTTCTCCTATTCACCCTGTCCTTTCTCCAGGTCCATTAAGGACAGGTAAGGCATGCAGGAAAAGCATAAAAGGGAGGCAAGGGTGCTGCTCTTTGACCTTCCCAGTGACCTGGAATGGACAGGCAAGTGACACCGAAGCTTTTGGCTTCATGGCCTCTTAAATATATCACTCTTCTTTTTATTGCTGTGTTTTTGTGTGTGGAAAACGTCCAAAGTAAACAAGACCAAACATAGCCTCTAATGGAAGAAGTGATTGGGAGACAAAAGTATACCCATGAGAAAGGCAGATGTGGAGCATGGGGAGGGGAGGAGGCACACAGCTCCTCCAGGAGCACCATCCGTCTGGAGGCTACGAAGTCTTGTGGAAACAAAAGGGTTTTCTCTCTTTTTGCAGCCCTTAGTGAAGGGGACAGTCAATAGCAATAGTGACTTGATGGCATGCTCGATCGGGGGCACCTTGTTCTTTCTTGTCCCATTGTTTCTGCCATTGTTGCTACTAAATAACGCATGAAGCTCATTGAAAACTGAAATGAGCGCAGTGAGGACTTGCTGTGTCCCTCTGCCTGGGCACCAGCCTCCATGTGTGCAGTGTTCGGGGGACCTGGTCCTCACACAATTGTTTTTCAGGTCACCCTCCCATTATTTAAAGAATAGGAGGACAATAATGACTTTCTCACATGCTTGTCCTTGAGGATCTTTGGGTTGGTGGGAAATAGTGCTGGGAAACTTCTTGAGACTGAGTTAAGCAGAGTCTTGATAGATGGCAAGTGATTTGCATTGCTGAACTGCGGAAGTTTTTTAGGACCCTGATCTTCTAACAGAGGTGCTCAGCACTGTTTTACCAGGCAGCATACAAATACACAGAAGTCACAAATATATGATCCATACAGATATCCAGATTTTCTTAAACTGCACGTGCTTTCCAGGGTCCTGTAAGTTACCAGCTTTAAATTCCCTGCTACAAATAGTGTGCCGAAGCAGGGCATGATTTGAGTCTACAGATCGCAGATATTTTCTATTCCTAGGTCTCGTGTGTATGGCACTTTACCAGCGTTTTTCTTCTGCTGATAACTGCAGTGATAGCTTGTAAGCAAGATTTCACCAGTGCCAGGCTTTTTGCCCCTTAGGTGCGCTGTCTAGATTGCCCTGGCCAAATTTTGGCAAGCAGGGCAATAAACAGTGGAAAGCAGTGAACTTGGCTACCTTTTGGCACATCACCTGCCATAAAAGCTGAGAATGCTTAGCTCCTTTCTGATGTAGGTAAAGATCAAGGGTGTTAAGGAAATTGTGGGATCAGTCTCAAGGGTATGTAACGCATCTCCTACCTAGATGTTTCCTTCTGCATCTAATGTCCTGCCCTTGCATCGGCCCTCTTGCAAATTACATCAGCAGCTGGAGTCTCTGTCCTTGAACTAATTGTTCAAGTTTCTGCATAAATTTCTGCAGAACCGCTGGTAGAAACTGTCCTAACAAGGACAGGTTCTCTGGCCGGTTACAGTTACATTGGCACCTAAGACTTTAAAACAGATGTTTCTATAGCCTCTTTTAAGGATGAGGAGGGAAATTTGCTGCTTTGGAGTGACATTTGTCTGGGAGAAACGGAGATCAGTCCATTGAGTTCCTGCTACAGACTGGACTGGATGGGAGGCCAGTTCTGTCTGCTCAGGGCTTGCTGGGGCCAGAAGTCCCTTCTCTGGCTTTTGACCCCTAGACACAGGATTCTGTGCTTGCAGAGGCTCTGCTGTTTAGGAGGGGGACTCTTGCCATCTAGTGGGAGGGGATGGTAAGCCTCTAGGAGCTCTGCCACCCCCTAGCATAAAAAGACAAAATGCAAACCCTACTTCCCAGCCTCTTAGTACGTGAATCGCTTCCCTGCAGATGTGGGATCAGCTCACGCTGCTTTCCCACAGCTTTCTCGCTGCCTCAAATCAGTGAAGCTGGATTTCTCATAAACTCTTCTTCTTTCTAGAAATCTCACTTTTTTTCTGATCTTTTTTCCTAGGGGCAAAAGTCTGTGTTTGAGCCCTTCTTTACTCATCTCCTCCTGGATGGCTCAGTTGCACAGAGAGAAGCCATCAAGAACCTATAAGTACAGGGAAGGATGTTGGTGCATGCTGGGTCAGATAGTGTGTGCTGCCTGCGTTTTGTCAGGAGATTGCTTGGGGGAAGCAGCCTTTCAACAGCTGACTCCTTGATTCAGTGCTCGAAGACAGCTAGGATCTCTGAGTAATAGCTCTCATTGACAGAGTATGGAAAGAGCTTGCAGTGCGCCTTGTGTCTGGGTCCTCCTTGGCCTAGGAAAACAGGAAGCTTGCATTCCAGTTGGAAGGTTTCAGTACTAACTGGCCTTCTTCCCTGCCCTGCCCTTAAAAGGTTAAGGACAGAACTGCAAGAAAGATGTATGTGCCTTTGTGTATGTGCTGCTCTATTATTCAAATTGCCTGGGACTGAGAAGTAACAGCTGCTGTCATGTAAGCATTGTAATGCAGAGTATGATGTCTGTTCTTGTGAGTATGTCATGGGGTTTCAGAGTTTCACCCTCCTTCATGATTTCACCCTCCTTGTATGATGCTGTCCTTCTGTGCTTCTGTTCTGACAGGCCACTGTTAGGAGTCTGGGCTTCAGCGGAGATCTTGTTATGGACTGTTTTTTGAAGAGCCTTGAGCTCAGCTGTCTTTAGCGAGCTATTATGAGTAGCAACACTGAGAAAAGTTCTGAGGGCTGCAGACTTGAAGTGGTGACTCTGCAAAGCATGGAAAATGATGTGGGTGAGGGAAAGAAGGCATGATGTGGTCATTGTCTGCGTTGCATTGATGCTTGGACTGGAATGCATGCAGAGAAGACAGAGAACTTGGAGAACTATAGTTGTTGTTTCTGATAGGAAATTAATCTCATCTTTCCAGCTTTGCTGGCTGCAAAAGCAGCATGTTGTACCAGGGTCCCTTCATGAATAGAAGCAACTCAAGTTTACAGTGCCTTGAGCTCTGGTTGCCACATGTACATGGGACTGTACAAACCCAGCCATGGTTAGGGTGGAGCAGCAAACTAGCAGTAACCAAACAGCAGTAGATAGGAATATTGGGTCTGGGAGGTCAATTCACAGTCGCTACTAAGCTCTTTACGCAAAAGTCTAAGCAATTCTAGTGGGGTTTAAAAGTATTACATAAACTAATATGGCTTATGTCTCTTTTGAGGGATGTGTAGACCGACTTCTCCAGAATCACTGGTGTTTATTAGATGTGCTGCGAGCCCAAGAGCAGATATACAGCTCTCCAATTATATGTTGTAGGAATTTTTCACTAGGGCCAATTGGTGTGAAAATTGCCACGTGTCTTCAGCACCCTTGCCAGAGCAATCAGGTCCTTCAATTCTTCAGGTATCGCCTAGATCATCTCTGTGCAGAGCAACCTTCGTGGAGCTCGGTGTATCTGCTTTGTGAATCTGAAAGGCCGAGTCGACCTGGGTGAGATTTGCACCTGCGGCTCCAGAGAGTCTGCGAGGTGAAAACACAAGGCTTGGGCAGGCAATGAGCCTTCCCTTTTTAAAAGAACTAAAGATTGGAGAAGTGAGATTAGAGAACCTAATGGTGCGTACCTAATTTTGGGGAGCACGGACCATGACCGTGACTACTTGGTCAAATCCAGTCGTGGCTTGTCCATACGGCAAGGGCGGATACAGAAGAAGGCTAGGGTGGTGGATCTGAAACGGGTCATGGTGGCTGTGTGCATAGCCAAGAGACAGATTCAGCTGCAGCTGGTACTTGTACAAGTATTTTGCATGAAAATATCCATTGTATGTGGGGTCACCGAACACAGAGAACCAGTGCCTGCTGGCAGCTGTGGCACTGCTGCCCATGAGGCTGCATCTTCGTCCCTTTGTTGGAAGCAGCGGATAAGTTACTGCTGGGAAGAGGATAAGGGATGGGGTAGATCTGTGCTTCCCTGGTGAAGGGCAGCAGTCCCCAAGGGAGAGAGGGAGTACAGGAACAGAGACCAAAGAGCAATAAGAGGATGGTTAAGCAGGCTGAAAGGTGCCAGGGTGGCCTGTTGGTCTGGCAAGTGATTTCCCTTGTCTCTTGTTTACATGATCAGATGTTGGAAACCCACTCTAAGCAGCAGCTTTTCTCCACAGTCGATGCAAGTTCATGTGAACTATCCCACCATGTCTCTGTGTTTTCTCCACAGTCGATGCAAGTTTGAGTGTGGTTCCCTGTCCGTCCCCCCCAGGTGCTTGTCTTTTGGTCTTCCCTGCCTACAATATGAGGGCACAGAAAGTTTCCCTGAATGCAGCATGCTACTCCGAGGAGCTTTGCTGAATTCATGCTGAATGTTTCGCTTTATGCCCCATATCCCGAGTTCTTCCATCAGCTGGAAGCTTGCATGGCATTTGCTGCTTGTATCCTTACCCGACCTCTCGGTACCCGGGCATGCAGCAAGCATTCCTCCTGCAGGCTGTCATGTTCCTCCCTGCCCCGATCAGCAGACGCTCACACATTCCTTCCTCTGGCCAAACTGCCTTCAGTTTCCTGCCAGTCTGAAGTAGCTCTGCTCTGTGGAGCTTCTGCTGTGACACGTTTTTCCTCTGATGTCCGTCCCTGAGACTTGAGCGAGGCGAGTCTGGGAAGATTTGACCCACCAGGTGGTGCTCTGCTGATAGCCATGCTGCTAATCGCAATTTGCAGCAATTTTACCTCTTCTAAGAGGGTTTCTTGAAGCGAGGCAGGACTCACCTGGAAGAGCGCAGTAGGCAGCAATCCTGTGCTGCTGTGGACGAGGGAAGGGCATGTGTTGGGTGGGCTGACTTGCAAGGAAGTCCACTACAAATTTGGAATGTCATCTCTGAATCTACTGAAGTAAATGGGGATATTCCCTCTAAGATTAGCCTTTGTGAATGCCTGCTGTTCTTTCTGTGCCTATCGACTTTCTGCTGACTTGTTTGAAAATCACCTTGAACAGAGATTTAACTTCTCAAGGGCAAAGCGGGTCAGAAAATAATCTTCCGTTCTCTGAGAGATGCTGACACTGCAGAATGTGCTGCTGTCCTAAGTTGGGTCGGGAAACAAAATTTCAAGATGTTCTCTGGAGTAGAAATTGCAAACTATTTTTTTTTCTTGGTAATTTCACAGTTACAGAAGATAGTTGAATAGAATTGTTATGATGTGATAAAAGCCTAAGTGAAAAATTGACAATTTAAAAACACAAAACCACTCTTATTTGAAAATATTGCAGAAGTTTAGAGTCGCCTCAGAATAATGTCTGATTGATTTTAACTACTTATTTTGATGGAAGAACTGTTTGAGTTAGCTCAGATCAGTGTTACTATTTCACTGACAGTTGTTCGCGCTACAGATGCTCTGAATTTCTTCTGTTCTTGCAGTTCAGGCTGAGATCTGATGGACTAACCTAGGCCATTTCATATATCTGCAGATGTTGACTTGCATTGCAAAACCTCTTTTTTTTTAAGCACCAGATATACATTGTGTTGAAGGGGAGTAAGTCTGAGATTCTTGCCTCGCTAAGTCTTTTTAGTGTTTCTGGCACAGCAGAGATCAGGATTTCTTTTTTTTTTAAATGAAGAGGAACTGTTTTTTAGTATTTGATTACTTCTCAGGTCATCAAAGACTAAGGAGTAACTCTTGCTGCAGATCTACGTGTTTCTTAAGTATGTGCCTTGGTTTGATCTGCTGTAGTTATATGTTTTAAGAATACTGAGCAGTTGAAAAAGCAGGTGCTGGATGCTGAAGGGTTAAGTTGGATAAAACATATTCAGATAGCTGTGGAGATGGCACGCTGCAAACTTGTGCATAAGCCATAGAAAGGGAAGTTTGAAGATGCTGTAGTATAAAGCCATGTCGTCTTCAGTACTGGTAGAGTACCTAGGACTGTGAGGCTCTGAATCAAATCAGGGTACCGAAAAACCGCTATGATCCCATTGTGTGATTTAACTCTGGTGTTGATGTAATTCTGCATATTTGTCCTCTAGGAACTTCCTGAGAAACCACTCATGTTTCTTGCCCACCTACTTCCTTGCAGCCCCGGCTAGCTTTCCCCCCATTTGTTTCCAGTTTTCAGTGCTTCTGCTCAGATTACAAGACAAGCCCATGATATCACCCGCTATGAGCTGAGGCTAAAGGGGCTGGGTCTTGGGAGGGGTTTGCTTGGCTAACTCTAGTGAAATTTGCCAGGAAGCAGCAGCTTCTTGCAGCATATTTCTCTGGCTGCAGGATATTTTCCAGCACAGAGGGGACCACTCGGACGGCGCTCTCAGCACAGAAAGGAAGAGTTTTATGAAGCGCAACAAGATAGAGGTCACCCCCAGCACAGCCTACCACTAACTTCAAGGTAAACGTGGTTCTGCTGAGACTGCAAGGCAGAGCAGTTACGTTACTGCTCGAGAAGGGGCTGATGAGTTTGCTGGAACTTTTCTAAGCCTCTCTTGCTTCAGGGCTGAAAGTTTGATCTCACTTCTTCTGTTTTCTCTTTGAACACCTTTTCTTTCTCTACCGTCAATATGTTATCAAGCTTGTATGTTGTGACCTGGGAAGGCAGTAGATGATTCTTGTATCCTTCTCCCTCCTCGGAGACTTGATTTGGCGGGGTGGAATGGCACAGATATGCAGTGTCACTTTGCAAAGATGTTGCGACCAGGTTAAAGAATTTCTCCCCTTGCTTGCTCACAGGCGTGTATTAATGGAGTAGAAAAGACATGTTGCAAACTGTCTACAAGCTGAGGCAGTGCATATTCTGTAAGGTTATTAGCATATGCTTGATTTAGACCAGAAAGCTACATGCCATAAACATTGTGTAAATGTTACTAGCTAAACTTCATAAGCAGTTTAAATTATCCTCCCTGAATAAATATGCTCTTTCAGAGGAAAAGGCTTCAGAGCAGATGTTTCCCATTGGCAGAAAGTGTAAGAGAGATCTGTCCCCAGTTAAGAAACTGCTTTCTGTTATGATGGTTAAATTCTCCTAAATCTGAAGTATAGCCCTTTTGCAAAGCAGCCTTCAACCTAACGGCAGTTTTCATTAGTTAAGCTGTTTTATCATGCAGCAAGCACAGAAGCGTTCAGGATGGCGTCAGGATATGCAGCAGCATCTGCCTAAAAAGTTGCGGCACTGAAACATGGGACTGCTCCTTTCTGGAAAGAACATAGTCCAGGTTGAGTTCTAATTCTTAAGCATGCCTATAGATAACTACCTTCTTCTAGATTAACTGTTGCTGTTGAGCTTCAAACAGGTGGTATGGTGTGCAGATAAAGAAAGATCTTAGACAAATATAGTTTAGAAGAGCATAGAGAAAGATCTTAGTTTAGCTATCTGAGAGCACAAAAAGAAAACTAGTTAGCATCTCTATAATCAGCTTATAAAGATGACACTGCAGTGCTTTCAAACATGTGCCTAATAGGGGCTGAAAATAATTTGCTTTAAGGTTCCTACATGCCACTATCATTGCACCTATATTGAACCACCCACGGTGGAGTTTCCTTGGCTGGAAGCTAGAGAGCAGTTAGAAAACATAGAATGAAACATTAGCATGAGCTACAGTAATAGCAAGAGTGCATAGGAGGTAACCACATCTGTAGCGTAGTATGCTCGATGGCTTTTGCTGCAGAAACGAATTTCATAGGAGGTTAGTTCTAGGGGCGTGATGATGTTGGAATGCCCCCCCC